AGTTCACACTGCTATTACCTCTAAGACCAAATATCTTTTTAAACCATTCACAACTTGGCCCCTTCCTACCTTTCCAATCCTTTTAACATTTATTCCCTTCTGCATTCTCTATGACCGAAGGGCAATGTTTTGTTGCAGTTTCTTTCTCAATTCTTTGGCCTTTTCTTTTTTTGGCTAGGCAATGGGGTTAAGTGACTTGCCCAGGGTCACACAGCTAGTGAGTGTTATGTGTCTGAGGCCGGATTTGAACTCAGGTCCTCCTGACTCCAGGGCCAGTGCTCTATCCCCTGCATGACCTAGCTGTCGATCCCTGACCTTTCAATGGCTGTCCCCCATACCTGGAACACTCTGCTGCCTTCCCTCCACTTCCTGGATTCCTTCTCAGCTTAAACCCTACTTTCTAGGCCTCTCTGGGTCCCATCCCTTGTCCCCTGGAGCTTCCCTATGGGATTACCTCTTCTAAACAAAGTACTTATCAGTAGGTACACAGTTGTTTGAGTTTTGTCTCCTTTCTCTTTAGGAATGAGTTCCTTGAGGGCAGGGATCATATTTTTACTTTTCTTTGGATCCCCCTAGCTAGACCCTAGCAAACCACTTAACAAAGCTGGTTGAGTGATTGTTGATTGTGACTTGTCAGCCTAAAATTATAATTATATATATATATGTATATATATATATATATATACATATATATATATATATATATATATATATCTCAAATATATATTATATATAATATATAGATATGTATGATATCTATGGCAACCATAGAGGGCAATCATACTCAAGTCAATTCAACATATCTTTTTAAAAAATTTTTACTCTGAGGGGCAGCTAGGTGGTGCAGTGGATAGAGCATGGACCCTGAAGTCGGGAGGACCTGAGTTCAAATCCAGCCTCACACCAAACACTTGACGCTTACTAGCTGTGTGACCCTGGGCAAGTCACTTAACCCCAATTGCCTAAAGGGGGAAAAAAAAGATAAAAAAAATTTTTACTCTGAATCTAATGAACATGAAAAAAATGAGCATTTCTATATACCAAGTAAAACAGAAAAAGTGGATTTTATGTGAAATCATATATTTCTCTATCCATCTTATGTTTTTAAAGTATGTAATAAATTCAACATGTTACTTTCAAAGCTGTCCTGTTTCAACAAACAATATGCAAGGCCCTGGGCTAGACATTGAGGCAGACTTACACTTCATATAAGAAAAAACTTTAAAAAAAAGATTTGTTCTTAACACAACACCAAATAAAATGGGCATTTCCATATATATAGTAGAGCAGAAAAAAGAATATTGTACACTAAACAGCTGATCTCATTTAGGCATGCTTTTCTTTTTAAGTATATGATATGTGCTATAAGAAATTATGAAAGTGGCAAATACAGAACAACTATGGCTCAAAAGAAAGAGATATTAGAAAACACTTGAACCCCATCCCTTTGAAGAGGTGGGAGGTCTACAAGTGTACATTGCACATATTTTCAGACTTTTAAAAGATGTATTGCTCAATTATTCTAGTTTTTCACATTTTTATCTTTAATTTGTCACAGGAGATGGCTCTTTGGGAGGGGAAAAGAAGGGGAGAAAAGGGGGAAACTTACTATGATCATGTAAAAAACCAATATATCAATAAAAACATTTTAAAACATATGTAATGAATTCAACCTGTAGCTTTCAATGCTGTCCTGTTTGTCTGTGCTTCCTTCTGACCTTCCTTTTGTTCTCCAAATTATCTTTAAAAGGAACACAGTGGCCCTCTTTTCTTTCTTATTATCCTATCCCTTTTCCCTTTACCCTCTCTGCCCCATCTATTGGAAAAGGAAAAAAAAAGAAAAGAAAAAGAAAGCCCTTGTAACAGAAAAAATAATTTTTTTCATAATCAGAACTTCCACAGAGTAGAATGGGTTACCTTTTGGAGAAGGGTAAGAAAGGGAGAATAGTACGTGGGAACCTATCTCTTCATGTGGAGCCTGAAGGATCTTTTTATCATGAAAGGTATAGAAGGGATTCTTCTTCAAGGACCAGCTGGTTGAGATGCCCTCTGAGGCCCTTTCTAGATTTGGGACTCTGTATTTCTACCATATCCCCCTCTTCCTTAGAGAATAGTATTCTTAGCAGGATCTCTGGGTCCTGATCTTTCTGAATGATTCATCACAGCTGCCCTCTAACCCCCAACCAGGCCACTCAAAATGACTGAAGCCCAGTGCTCAAGGTTACCAGTCTCCATCTGGTTTCCTGGGGCTGATTATTCCCATTCAGACCTTTGTGCCCCAAAGCCTTCAGGTCTGTTGAATCTGTGAGGAGGGAACACAGAGGCACTATTGTAGTTGTTCTGCCCCTTTATATATCTGTTCCCTTTCCTCGACTAGGTTAATCCTTCCCTCTGAGGACTCCCCTTCCCCCACAAAGCTCAGCAGGATTGCTTGATATACATTTATATCCCCCCTGGGCCTGGCAGACTCTCCACTTTAGTTCTGTGCAATCCCCAGGGCCATGCTCAATGTGCTGACGTATAGGGACGCCCTGCCCATCAAGCAGGCAAGCCAGCCCAGCCAAAGCAGTGACTTCCCCTACCTTCCCTTTGACCCCAATGGAGGTAGCCAGGGACCTTGAGAATAGTGGTGTTCTCTAACCATTGGTTCTGTTTCCAATCCAGGCCCTGAATTCACATCCTTTATTATGGATAAGGGACCCACATTCCTCTATATCAGTTGACAACCATCTACCACCAACAGGCATATAACCAAGAGGCTTGGGAGTGTCAGCATTGCCCAGATCATTAGACCTCCCTGCTTCCATTCTAACCTTCCTGGCTATCACCCTGGGGTGTGAAGATGTGGCCTGACAGTCCCTTCTGTGGCTTCTGCAACAACAGCTGTAGAAGACCTAGGAATGAAATTTTTTGCTGCCAAAGTCCTTAATACTATCCAATGGTTCAGTCTCACAAAATGATACAATTTTATTTGTAGAAATGACGTTAAAGATGAGGCATCACCCACCTGCCCTCTAAGGACCCTTCCTTCTGATTTAGGGCTGAATCTTCTTCATGTCTTTGTTGTCTTCCCTAGGCCTCCCACTGCATCTGGGGCCATCTCCAGTTGCCCTGATCTATATCTTGCCATTGGGCCCACATGGCTGTGGAGGAGAAAGTGAGGTTGGTGACTTTGCCCATCCCTCCCTCACTTAAATCAGATTCACTCGCTTGTCACGGGTAACCTCCTGGATGTACTAGTCCTCTTCCAGAACAAAGGACAAATAACAACAACAATTAGGATAAGCATCTTGAGAGCTGGGAGAGTCTTTTGTTTGTACTTTCCGGGAGTTAGTTTTGCATATTCTAAGTGCTTCATAAGTGCTCTTTCATTTGTTCATCTTTTCTTCTCCAGACCTTGCCCTGTTCCCTTCCCTGTGTCTGCTCCTGCATGTGTCCAGCCCCTTGCTGGCACTATAAGGATTCCCAGCTCCTGGTCTCAGCAGTCTTTCCCCCAGATAATATCCTCCAGTCTCCCAAGTCCATAGAATCATAGAACCATAAAATCTCAGAGTTGGAAGGACCTTATCTATTCGAACTCTACATAAGAAAGTAATCCCCTTTAAAAAACAACAACAATCCCAAATCCTAAATGGTCAGCCAGCCACTGCTTGCTACTCTTTAGTGATGGAGAGCTCACTACTAACCAAAGAGGTTCACTGCACTTTGGGGCCACTGTGTTGATTAGTTAAGTATCCTATGATGTTACTAGGAATCTTAAAGGGTCATTTAGGCCACCTTACCCTCCACCTTTTCAGATAGGTACTAAACTATCTTCTCTTACAGTTAAATTTTTCCCCTTTACCTATACTTGAAATTTTTAAAATAATTATTCCTTATTTTAACATTCATTATTTAAAATTTCAAGTTCCAAATTCTCCCTCCTCTCCAGCCCCTCTCCCATCCATTGAGAAGGCAAGCAATATATCAACTACACGTGTGAAATCATGCAAACTATTCCCATATTAGCCATATTGGAAAAAAAAAGGCAAAAACAAATAAAGTGAAAAAAGTATGCTTCAATCTGCACTCAGAGTTCATCAGTTCTCTCTCCAGAGGTGGAGAGCATTTTTCATCTAGTCTCTTGGATGGATCATTGTATTGATTAGAGTAGCTAAGTCTTGCACAGTTGATCATCATTACTGTTACTGTGTACAATGATCTCCTGGCTCTGTTCACTTCATCAATTCATATAGGTCTTTCCATGTTTTTCTGAAACCATCCTACTAGTCATTTCTTATAGCGAACAGTATTCTGTCATAATCATATTCCACACTTTTTCAGCCATTCCCCAACTGATGGGCATCCCTTGAATTTCCAATTGTTTGCCACCCCCAAAAGAGCTGCTATACATATTTTTGTACATGTGGGTCTTTTTCCTTTTCCTAATCTCTTTGGGATACAGACTTAAGTAGTGGTATTGCTACTACCCTCTCTTAGAAAGGTGATGGTCGATCCCATTTTCAAATGTTTGGGAAAGGAAATTAAACCTCCTTGGGGATGCATTCCTAGGGAAATTCTGCAGGTACTCTCCTCCCTTGAAGCCAATTCATTCCAAAGAAAGGGACGGGCAAGGGAAGGAGGTCCGGTCAAGCATGAAGGATTCAGGATGCAGGAGTGACGGTGGACCAGTGTCCAAGGTCCGGAGTCATACCTATAAGGAGATGCTCCAGTGACGTCCGAGGAGGCGGTGCCCTCTTCACAGCCCAGGAAGGGCGGGGACGTGATGCACAGGCAGGGGCCGGACCTGTGGCAGGGGGGCGGGACCAGAACGCTGTCTGGCCAGTCCAGGGATGGGGCCAGTTCGGGGAGGGGCGGGATCAGAATGCGCCTGGGCCAGTCCAGGGATGGAGCTAGGTGGGGGAGGTGCGGGGGTGGGGCAGTCCAGGGGTGGGGTGGGGCCAGCCTGGAGGAGGGGCCAGCAGGGGGGCGGGGCTGCGGCCTAACTGAGCTGGGTCCGGCTCGGCCTCGGCTGTCGGCGCTGGCTCGGAGCTGCAGGGGCTGCGGCTGCACAGCGGGCGATGGTGGGCATCCCGGGAGCGGCTGCCTTCCAGTGTAAGCGGGTCCGGGGCTGGGAGGATGCGACGAAAGGGTCCCAATCCATGGTGGCCCCGGGGCCGGCGGGAGGAGGAGGGGGTGTGTGTGTGTCCATCTAGTGTTGAGAGGGTTGGGGGGAGTTGCTTCCTCCACGCTGGCTCCCGGGACCCCCCACGGCCGTGCTTGGGCCGGAGGCGGGGGTGTGCATCACTGGCCCGAGAGTGCAGCGTGATCCACAGTCATGGCCTGAGACCCAGAGAGGGGGAGTAACGTGCCCAAGGTCACACAGCTAGAGTCTAAGGTAGAGGCCAGGTTGGACACCCCGTCCTCCCCCCAGGTATCCTGATGCCCAGCCCAGGCTGCCTCCCCACGAGGCCCCGCCTTCTTCCTGGCCACCCGGACCGACCCACGGAGCAAACCCTTTCCCGCTATCTGCGTGGGCGGGCGCACTCCGGCGGCCAAGAGGCCCCAGATTTGGGGGGTCCTGTTTCCGGGCGCGCAGAGTGCTTGCCTTTGTGAAGGGCAGAGACACCCTTTCTTCCCTCCCTTCCTCTTCCCCTCCCAGCCCCAACCAGCGATGGGGTCTAACCAGACCCTTATGGTGAAGACTCCAATGGAAGATGAAAAACTCACCCTTTTTTGGCGGAGACTCAGTGGAGTCTTAGACCAAAAATTGTTTTGGGAAAGCCCTGCTTCCCCCTCTCCTAATGATGCTTGTTGACTGACTGACTGACCACTGGAGCCCTGGAGCTCTACAGCCCCGTCCACCACTTCTTTCTTGTCTGGCCATGGGAGACTAGCTTCTCTTTGAGAGGTTAAGCTTTTCATAATCAGCCCCTGTTTACCCCTTGGGCTCTTTCCAAAAAGTTGCAACTCTGCACCTGAGCTGGGCTCAGAAAGGGCAAGACGGGGGAGGAAGCTTCAACAATGAAACCTGCTCAAGTAGTGACTTCCTAACTTAGCAAGGCCTGAGCATTCGTTAACCTTCTCTAGACAGGACCACCTACCGAGTTTGGTCGCCTTTGTTGTTACTTTGCATATGCCTAGAGCACATTTTTTAATTGAAAGAATTAATGCATATTACCATACTAGCTTATGGTGGTGGGAAAGACTCCAGATTTGGGATGATAGGTGGATCATAGTCAGTAAGCATTTATTAAACACCTACTGTGTTCCAGGCACAGTGCTATACAAAGAAAGATCAAAGAGCCCCTCTCTCTAGGAGCTCACAGTCTAATGGATAGATTTAAAGGTAATCCACCTCTTCTTTTACAGAGAGTGAAACTGAGGTCCAGAGGAATTTAAAAGCATGACCCCTGGTTTCAAATCCCAAGCCCTTTCCGTTGTACAGAGCTGCCTCTTTACCTAGTTTCAGATCTCTCCTTTGCCACCTACTACCTGTGTGACCTCGAAATAGCTCAGTTTTCCCATCTGCAGAATGAGGGGGTTGGATTTGATGAGCTTCTGAGGGTTCCTTTCAGTCTCTAAAAGTAATGAAACAGGATCTGCTTTGAAGACTCAATTCCTAGAGTTTTGGGGGAGGGGAATGATCGCAAGTGAATGAATTCCGGAAGTTTCCTTGGGCTGAATGGATGGGGCCAACCCAGGTGTTGGTTTATTTATTTGGGAGTGGAACTCTTCAAACTGGAATTCTGAATTGGAACGTTTTGGATTTTGCTTTAATCCAATTTTAGTTATGTTTGGGGAGGATTCTCTTTATAAATAAAGGTGGGAAAGGAGACTGAGAAAAAAATTTTAAGACCAGTACAGTAGCCTTTCATATGTTTTGGTGCCTAAGTAATTTTTCAGAACATCCTGCAGGCAAAAAGTTTGACTCTTGGTCCATCGTAAGTTGTGGATTCATTTTGGGGGGAAGGAGGCCAAATTTGTGATTCCGTCTGTGTGGGGATCTTCCTGGGTGGACTTTGTTTCTTCAGAGTAAGATTGGCATCTGCACCTCAGAAAGCTGCCAGTAGCAGAGAAAAGTTCAAGTGACTTGCCCATGGTCACTCAACCAGAATTGGCCCCAGGCGGAATTTGAACCCAGGTCTTCCTGACTACAATGCCCGTCCTTTCTTCATCAATGCATGCTGCCTCTCACTGTTTCATAGAGCAGATCTGTACAGTCCTTAGTATCGAATCTTAATATGAGGAATGATTTACTCATCAATGTTTTACCTTAAGTTAGATTTATAACATAGACTACGCATAACTTTTAAAAGCTCTTTTCAGTTTAAAACATTGAATAGGAAAAAATGGTGGATTCTCTTCAAGCATTTATTAGGCATAGCCCTTAAGCAAGTTACTGTGTCATAGTCTCTGCCTTCAAAATGTTTGTCTTGGCAGGGCACCTGGGTGGAGCAGTGGATAAAGCACCAGCCCTGAAGTCAGGAAGACCTGAGTTCAAATCCAGCCTCAGACCAAACCCTTGACACTAGCTGCGTGACCCTGGGCGAGTCACTTAACCCCAATTGCCTAAAAAAAATATAAAAATATATTTAAGAAGTATATCTTGGTACTGAAGCTATAGTGGATATGCAGAAAGTGTGATATTACTAAGGAACGGTGTTAGATTAGGTAACCATAATAGTATGGTTCTGTACAGAGGAAAGGAGAGATTTCTCTTAGCTGGGTGTGGGGAGGAAAGAAAAGGAAGATGCCAGGGGAAGACTTCATGGAGAAGGCTATACTTGAGCTTGACTAGGAAGGGAAATAAGGAGATATCTATAGCTATTCTTATAGCTATAGATATAGACATATAGGCATATAGGCATATATACATGTGTGTATGTGTATGTTTCATATACATATACACATAAATGTGTGTGTATACATACATGTATATGTGTACATATATCTGTCCATATCTATCTATACACATACACATATAAACATATGCACTGAGGCAGCAGAGGGCAGGATGATGAGTTTCCAGCTACTCTAGTTGGACAGGAATGTCATATAATACATGGAAAGATTTAGAATAAAATACGGCTGCAAAGGTAGCTAGAAATGCTAGGTTGAGTTTGTATTTTTAATGTCTAGGCCATGGGAAGCCCCTGGAAATTTTTTAGCGGGGTAGAAACATGATCAGACCTTCATTTTAGGAAAATTATTTTGACAGCTGTGTGGAGAGAATGGTTTTGGAGAGAGAAAAGATTGGAAGCCAGAAGATCCAGGAGAAGGCTACTACAGTGTTCCAATCAAGAGACTTAATGTGGGTTTGAAGGAGGAAGCCACATGATTTGAGGGGAGGTTGTAGTGGTGCAATTGACAAGGTTTAGAGACTCATTGGGCGTGAAGGGGTGAAGAAGAGAGAAGATTCAGAGGTTTATAGCAAAGTTTTCTGGGCCCAGATGACTGGGAGTAGAAGGATAGTGCCATCAATTGATATAGGGAAATTAGGAGGAAAAGAGGTTTAAGAGGAAAGATCATGAATTAAGTTTTGGAAGGATTGAGTATGAGAGGCCGTCCAGACATTAGGTGTAGATGTAGAGCATAGACTGTAGGAACTGAAAGGAACCTTAGAACATAAAGCTTAGAATGTCATCACTGAAAAGGACTTTAGAACATGTAATTTCAGAGCTGGAAGGAACCTTGGAATAATAATAATAGTAATTTTTTCAGTTATGTGACTCTTCATGACCCTATTTAGGGTTTTCTCAGCAAAGATATTACAGTGGTTCTCCAGCTCATTTTACAGATGAGGAAACTGAGGCAAACAGGGTTAAGTGACTTGCTTCAAGGTTGTTATTCAGTTGTGTCTGATTCTTTGTGACCCCATTTGGGGTTTTCTTGGCAAAGATATTGGAGTGTTTTGTCATTTTTTTCTCCAGCTCATTGTACAGATAAAGAAACTGAGGCAAACAGGTTAAGTGACTTTCTTAGGGTCACACAGCTAGTAAGTATCTGGGGCCAGATTTGAACTCAAGAAGATGAGTCTTCTTGATTTCAGGCCAGGTTCTCTATCCACTGTGCCACCTAGCCCTCTCCAGTAACCCAGGACCTGCCAGTGTCACTCACAAGCATGTGAATATCAGAGAAGGCCAGTTATCTTCACTAACCACCTGGGGGAAAGATTGAAGACAGTGAAGAAAAAGAGAGTGTCAGGATACCACTGGCACTGGTGATGGCCTATTCTGGCTTCCTTGCTTTAGTAATAGCCATCATTTATATAGTGTTATAAGGTTTGCAAAGTGCTTTACACATAATTGTTCTGATTTGTCTTTATAACAATCCTGGGAGGTAGATGCTATTATTATACCCATTAAACTGAGAGGGAAACTGAGGCAGACAGCAGTTAAGTGAGTTGTCTTGCTAGTTAAGTGTCTGAAGTTCAAATAGAATATCAGAGCTATAAGAGAACTTAGAATGTACTTGTAAAGCCTAGACTGCCAGAAATGGAAGGAATCTTAGAATACAGAGAATAAAATATCTGAGCTGGAAGGGACCTTTAGGGGCCATCCAATGCAGCCCTTCATTTTGCAGATAGGCCTGGAGAGGGTCAGGGCCTTTCCCACCTGTTCCCAGAATGTTAGTGGCAGAGCCAAGATTAGAAGCAGCTCTCTGGATCCCAAGTTTGGGGGATACCCCTAGTCTGCCCCTCTCTGGACAGCAGAATGCATAAACCAGGTCACCTTCCAAGTGAATGAAAAGAACATTTAGAAAGAAAAATCATGGATCGTAGGTGCCTAAACTAGTTCACAAGTCCCAGTGACTGGAAGGAAGACTGGAGGACCCCTACCCCCTCCCTAGAAAAAGATGGGGAGACCCAACTAAGTTAATAATTTAGAAATAGATCTTTGTAGCAATACTTTCAGTCTTCAGTTCCTTCTGATGATGACTGCTAATAATAACAGCTAACAAATCTCACATAAATGTTTCTCACATAAAGGTTTGCAAAAACACTTTACAGGGTGTCCCAAGTACGTTAGTGTGGTTTTGAACTTTAATAGCTTAAACTTAAGTAACTTAAAACCTAACTAGGGCTTTTGGGATACCCTTAAGAACTCTATTAA